TAAAAACTATAATCTTTTGTTTTTTTACTCAATTTTATTGGGGAAGCACACAGTGCTTAAATTCAGTGCTTTGAGTGGATCAGTTAAAATTACTGATTAGTTGCAAATTCTTTCAAAATCGATGACTTTTGCGGCAAAAAATTTTCAAGCTGCAATTTTCAGTTCCGTTCTTACTGTAATCTTATTTCGCGTCTTCCGTTTATCTGTGATCTCCACCAGCAGCTCAGTAATTCTGGCGCTACAATTATTTTCGAAGCTTTCGAGAAGCTTAAACCAATTTTTTTGAAAAACAATTCATTTTCACTCGGCATACTCATCGGTGAGTTTATTACAGATATCAATAAACAGCCAATTATTAGAGGAATTGATCCAGTAAATTGTTTCTGCAGTGCGGGTTGATTTGGGCATGTAGGGGTGAAAACAATTTGACAGCATGAAGTTAGCGCCTTTTTAAGCAGAGTTAAGTGAAGACACAACACGGCCTGAGCTTGTCATCGGGTGGGGAGGAGATGGAAGCAGAAAAGCACGAAAAAGTGGTTCTTCACAGGAAGCATATGTGAAATTCTGGTGCTACTTGGATTCAGCATAGTTCATCAACTCATTTATTCGGCATATATGAAATAACTGCTAACTCGCAATGTGCTTCTCCAGCTTTGCAGTTGGAAAATTTTCAGTTGCTTTAACTAGTGGGCAGCATGTTTGTGGACCTACCATTGATTCATTTTCTTTAATTTGAGTTGTTACTTCGTTTTTTATCGAATAGTACTGAAAATAACAATAACAATAATGATAATAATAGTGATGATAATAATAAAATGGTAGCAAGAGTAATAGTAAATGATAACAGAGCATAATAATATTAAATAACAGCTGCATTTAATATTGGAATTTCATAAGCAATCGTTGTAAAAACCTATGGAATTTCCTTTGGAAAAACCAAGCTTTTCAGGAAATTACCAGAAGGAAAAAAAACACTCTTGTTAATTGAGCTACTTTTTGGCTTTTTATCTGTTGAAGCATTTGTGGATTATGCCTCAGCTGTCTCACTGAAAGTACACGGAGGGCAGAACTGGGTGCATGATTTATTATATGAAAAAGTCGTCTAGCCGATTTTTTCTGGGAAGGATTTTCGGATTATTTCTGTCAAAGGAAAGAAGCATTTGGCTAAATTTTTAAGTTGCCTTTCTTAAATAATGAATACTGCAAAAGACAAGACCCTCTCGTGTTCGTTCTTTATAAGAGAGGGAGGCATTCAGAATTAGGCACCGAGTGATAGCAAATTTCAACAGCAACCATCCGCTGACCAGTTTCTCAATGGCTTCTTTTGGGAACTGCTTACAAGCAAACTCATGGTGACTTTGTTTCTTTGGCATATACCAGCACCGGTATATCTTCAAAATGAATGAGCGAGTTGTAGAGGGACTGGATGCTTCAACTCTCAGCATTGCTAAGAAATAGGTCAAGCGCAGCAATGTCAGGCCTGATTATCGTAGGCTTTTTGCCGCCAGCTGTCGCCAACCTTGCGAAAGTATGTGTACTTTATGGGGCTAATAGTTATTAGATGTGATTTTCAGTGCGTCAGTTGGTGCCACCAGCAAGTAAGGAAGCTGTTTATAGTAACAAATATGAATACGGATGTCTGTTCGATGACGAATGCATCCATATGAGTGTGGAAAAGGTGCAGCAGTTTGTAAGCAGCGCCCGCACTTTTATCAAGGTGAAATCAGTCTGGGCATTTTTCAGCTCCTGTAGTAATTACTTGATTTTTACTTACTTAAAAAAATTTCTCCTGTAAAAAATTGCATAAAAAAACACCAAAAAATCAGATGGAAAATCAAATAAAAAATTTTTACTTGATCTTTCATTTGTAAAAGAAATCTTTTTTCCTACGAATAATAAGGGCCAAAATGCCGTTGTCAGCTTGACCATAAATAATCTTACAGAAGGGCTATCATCGACAGCCTTGCCGATGTGTACTTGCTTTTGGTGTATTACTTTAATCATTTTTGAGGATTTTAGTATCTCATAAAAGAAAAAGGCTTTGCCCTCGACCTTGAATAAAGACAAAGTGAGATAATAAACAGTTTTACAGATTCAAATAAATTAGGCTGGACTATTTGGAACTCATCAACGGGAAAAACTGAAAAGCTAGGCACTCGCTATCTGTAAAACGAAAAAAAAAATAAATTACACAACAAAACGATGTTTAAAGGATAACAGAATCATCCCCGATTTTAAGTACCATCGTTACCTAAAAATGTTAATGTTCGGGGCGGGATAATAACGCCCGACAAACATCAGTGACATTTACAAATGGTTAAAGCTTTCTCAAATGCTTTTTTTGCGAGAAC